TTCATTTACTTTAACTTTTAACTAAAATTTCAAAAATACCTTCAATTACCTATCACTTTTTTAATAAAATATTCATTTTTTTTTTAATTCTCGTGCCGAGCCTAAATGGGCTAATTTTAATGGAGGGATGGAGTATCTAATTACATGTTTAATATGGTTGATTAAAATCCAAAATGAGTTAAAATTTACTATAATAATACACTAATTAATTTTTCCTTGTTGAGCGTGAGTAGCCGAATTCAAGCTCGATTTATTTATAAATATTAATTAAATTTTAAAATTCGTTTATTCCTATAAATGAAATGAATCGAGTTGTTAAAGAGTCGGATTGAACATGGTTTGTGAGCTACTCGATTCATTTAACATTTCTAAATATACTATTCGCTTTTTAGAATGAAAATTATGATGTTCAATATTATTTTAATAAATTATACTAGTATTATTAGATTATTTAATATATATTTATTTTATTTGATTAAATATATAATAAAATTTGAATATTCTATTATCATAAATTATAAATAAACTTAGATATAATTAGCTTATATATTTTAAAAATGTATAGAATATATAATTCACCATTGCCCGGCATTCCCAGGCAATTTGTTCACTTTAATTTAGGCACGGAATTTTATGTATTGTAATTAATAAGTAATAAAAAAATATATTAATATAAAAAATTATAATTTAATAAAAATAATTATAATTTAGAATAATTAAATAGTTCAATTAAAATAAAAAAATTATAAATTATAATTTTTAAAATATGATTAAAGTGTATAATAATATTTAAAAAAAATGACAAATTATGTGGAACGGACGAAAATAAAAAGAATGAACAAATTAAGTGAGACATAAGGAATATAAATTTGAGTTGAGCTCGAATTTGAATTTATTCCTAACAAATTGAGTTCCAATAGCTATTTTAGCTCGAATTCTTAACAAGACTGAACTAAACTTGTACAGCTAATAAATTTGAATCAAACACAAAATAACAAGTAGTTGAACTCGCTAGACTCGTTTAACAAATCTATAATATATGAATATTTGCAGTATTTTCTCCGTCCACTTATAATACATATATTTTTATTTTTGTCTGTTTAATTCAAAAGTTTATATTTTTTATTTTAGTAACTGTGGACTCTATCACTAATTATTAATATTTTTTATATTTATTTACTGTCTTATTCTCATTTTATTATACACTTATCTTTAAAAATAAAGGCAAATTGATTTGTATATTTTTATATCTATTCATTATTATTAAAATATTAATAATATTTTTAAAATTATGTATAAAAAATAAATATAAATATTAGAGTTGGACGAAAGATATACTTCCTCCGTTCCGAAATCAGATGATCAATTTGGTTCGGGACACAGTATTTTAAATAGTGTAAATTAATACTATTTCTATCATCCAAATATGTGCTCACTTTCTTGTCAAAAAATATCTTCGTTTTCTTTTTTTAAGTAAAAAATTATTATACTTTTGTAATTTTCTTTATTATAAAAGGAAAAATAACCGTAATTATTTATTTTTATTAAAATTTGTATCCGATCCAATAAGTACATATTTGTACAAGGGAAAGAGTATATAATACATATATAATTTTGTAGATAATTAACTAAAAGTTAATTTTATAAAAATAGATTTTTTTGAATATATATAGAACTATAAAAATAAAAAATAGAATTAAGGAATATTTTAAATTTTATATTTATTAAATATATTTAATACAAATAAATTTATTAAAAATATAAAATAATCTATTAAGAAAAAAGAGGATTGTGTATGTGGGTCTGTACCCTTATCCTTTGACTTTTACTGTTTCATCAGTTTCAGACATAGCCACATGCCCTGCCGGTTTTAGAAACAGCTGGCAATGCAATTTATGGTATGTTTGTTTTGGGTTTGGATTTTGAGTTGTGATTTGAATAGTAAAAATTTTGAATTTGAATAGTCGTATGATATGATAAATAGGTGTTGATGTGATATTTTAAATGTAAAATTAATTTTTAATATAATATAAAAAATAAAAAATATTTGTTTGATTTAATTTTTTTTTTTTGAAAAAAATGAGATGAATAGTGAATTGAAAATTCAATCCTCCAAATAAACACACCCTTAATAAAAACTATCCATATGTTAGTTTAAAATTTGGATTTTTAATTGGGATTTGAATAGTAAAAAATTTGAATTGTAATAGTAATATGATGTAACATAAATAAGTATTGATATAATGTTTCGAATTAAAAATTAATTTTTAGTATAATATAAAAAATAAAAAATAAGTGTTTGATTTGATATTTTTTTAGGAAAAAATTTGTATAAATAGTATAAACTCTTTTCAATTCTTCAAACAAACACACTTGATAGAGTTTGGTTATTTGAAATATATTTGGTATTTCGAATCGAATCAAATTAAATAAATATTTAAAACCATAAATTATATTCAAATCAAAACTTTTGGTTAATCGACATAATTTTCAGTTAACAAAAAAATATTTTATATATTTACAAATAGTTCGATTAAAAGAAATAAACACATAAAGATAACTAAAAAAATTGTAATTAAAAAATATTTACAAATTTTTAAAGTCGAATGGAAACCGAAATTGAATATAATATAGTTATTAATATTAGCTATAATAATATAAATATATTTAGTTCGATTCAGTTCAATTCACCGAAAAAAAATACTACCAAAATCAAATTGAACCAAACAAATACCAAATATATAATATTTCTATTTAAATCGAATTTGATTGATTGATTAATCGAGAATCCGATTTACTTCAGTTCGACTCGGCTGTTCGATTTTTTTCCATCCTTGTACAAAGGGATTTTTTAGAAATAATGAAAAAAAAAATTATTCCTTCTACTATTTACATATGTGTTCAAATATTTTAATATAAATTTTAATAGAAATAGATAATAAATATTTTTTTTTATTTTTATAATATCTTTTTGCTATAAAATGAGAATATTTATATATTTATTTAAGAATGTATTCATTTAGTACTACTATACTATTATCCAATAAAAATATTTATCCTGTCTCGAAAGAAGCATTCATTTTTTTATTCTCGTTGGTCTGAAAATAAAGTATTTATTTTTTTAATAATTATTCTACTAAATAGTGAAAATAATTTTACAAATTATATACTCCGCGTTTCGAAAGAGCTAGACTTGCTTTTATATATTCATTCGTTTTAAAACAATTGTTATATTTTTCTCATTTAGTAATTGTAGTCTTCAGTTTATACCAAAATTATTCATATTTTTTCAAAATTATCTCTAATTATTATTTTAATTCACTTTTTAAAATCCTTAAAAAGTACAGATATTTTAGACATTTATATTTTATTTTTTATCCACTTTCAATTACTATTGTTACTTAATTCTAATGTTCACTCCCACACCACGATTTTAAACAGTTGGTATATCTAACGTTTTAAAACTTAATTTTTAAAAATTAATAAATTATTTTACAAAATTAATTTATCAAATATTTAAATTAATTTTTTAACTAATGAAACAATTAAAACTCCTAAAAAAAATTAAAAGCCCTTTAATATTTTCTTTCCACATCTTTAAAATCAAACAAAAACCTTCATTGCTTCATTTATATCTGATTTTGGTATCCTTAAATACTTAATAATTAGAATTGAAAATTAATCATACGTTATAATATACTCCCTTCGTCCCATTGAAATGTTACAATTTTTTAATTTAGCAATTGTACTATCTACTTCACATAATAAATACCCTTTCAACTTACAATCTATTACACAAATGTTATTACTTTTATATTACATCATACTAATAGGGGTATTTTTATTTTTTTTTACTACAATCCAATATAATACTAATATTAAAAAATCTACGTGCAAAAAGCAAACGTCACCCTTGTTGCGGGACGGGACAGATGGAGTATTATACTATAAAAAATCAAACCCTACTATTCTCTCTGTTCCATATAATTTGTCATTATTTTCTATTTTCTATTTTCGTCTGTCCCACATAATTTTTTTTTTTGTAAAATTGATTATACACTTTAATTATATTTTAAAATTTAAAATTTAATTTTTTTAATCTTAATTAAACTATTTAGTTATCTTAATCTTAATCTATAATTATTTTTATTAAATAATAATAATCTTTACTAATACACTTTTTAATTATTTACAAATTATATTTTACCTAAATTCTCGTATCTACATTAATACGCTAATTTTATCTAGGACGGAGGGAGTATTAATTAAATCAACTATCTTATCTTAATATATCATACTATAAGAAAATTCAATTTTATTTCAAACTTATATGAAATATTTATTTATATTAAATTATATAGAATTTAAATTTAAATTTATTGTTATTTGAATTTCAATTTCAAGTCCAACAATTTAAGAAACAAACTCGAAAATTTTTTAAAATGTAAAGTAAAGATCTCACTTATTATTAAATTTCAATTTCAAGTCCAACAATTCAAGAAACAAACTCCAAAATTTTCTAAAATGTAATGTAAAGATCTCACCATGTGAATCTAGATACAAGTTTTATTGTTATACTTCATTCATTCGTTCGTTAACAATCTATCCATTTTTTTTATTTTGGTCCGTCCTATAATAAAGTATCAATTTCATCTCCTTTTTATCATTCAAATTTGCAATATAGTACACAAGTGTCATTATTTTATATCATACAATACTAATAAGGTCAGTTTAGTCTTTTTTACCTTTATTTCTACTATATCTCAATATAATACTAATATTTTTAAAATTTTGTGCAAAAAATAAATAGAGGTGAGGGGGAGTATTCTATAGTGTGTTAATCCAATTCAATTTTTTACACAATTTCAATTAATATTATATGTTAATATAATGCATACTCACACTCCATTTATATAAATTATCAATATACTTCTCTAAATTTTCATATCTACATTAAAAAAAAAAAAAAAAAAAAAACAATGAAATTAAAAATCACAAAATGAACACAAATAATTTAAAGTCTTACTTAAATTTATAACAATAAACTTAGAAAACAAACTTTTTTTTGTTTTTTTTTTAATATTTTATATTGCGGTTTTATTCATGAATGAAAAAGTTGGAGTAATACAAATTAACTAGGGATAGGCTTCGATGACAGAAACTGGTGCCGGAATATATTTGATGGTGTGTTTGGAGAAGCCGGCAGATTTTAGAAGATCGCCCCATTGCTTTGCATTTCTTTCTTTCCCATTGAAAGATAGTGCCAACATTTCCATGTCTAATCCCAAATGAAATCCTTCGAAGGTGTTTTTAAGGTTGCCGTGGTCGACCACAATTTCCACAATTATCACTTTTCCGGTCTCCTTTGGGATCGACTTTTTGCAATTCTTCAAGATCTTCACACACACTTCGTCGCTCCAATCATGAAGAACCGACTACGACCACAAAACATCAGTCATATATATAAACATCACAACATATATTATAGAAATATATACAGTCTGTTTTTATTACATATGTTGCTGATTGAATCAAATCAGCGCTATACTGATTTGATCCGATCAATAAATGGTTTGCGTTTGTATAAATAATAGTCTCCTAATCATTAATGTTAACAAATCGATTAGTCCTTTACATTGTTAAGTTATAACATGAATATTACTTAATCATTCAAAGTAAACACACGGTTAAAATAACAATATACCATAAGCAAAATAGCGTCGCCACGCGGAACTTCGACGAACATGTCGCCACCGATGCGCTCGATCCGGTCATCGCCTCCGGGCGACAAGGCCACGACTTGGGGAAGATCGAAGTTAATGGCTCGGACAATCGACGGGTACGCTTTCACCAACTTACGGAGCGCGGTTCCATCACTACCCCCGACGTCAACCAAACAACCGATCCCCTCGAACGCGGCCGGGTAGTGTTCGATCACCGACGATATGTTCGAACCGCCTAGGCACGACATGCTCTTAGCGACCAACTCGTTGAATGAAGGATTCGCGACCATATACGTCCCAAAATCGACGCCGTGCACAGCCTTGAAGGCGTTTGTTTCGGTCTTATTCGACGCGAGGACTTTCGAGAAGCTCAGCTTGGAGTTTACGAGCTCGGGGCTACTAAAGAATAGAACCAATGGCGCCATTCGATCCTTGGTGAGTAGACGGGAGAACGGCGTGTGGGCGTAAACGATCGATGAATCTCCACCATCGATTCCGACGACTTTGAAAATGCCGCGATGGGTCAAGAACCGCATAATACGGTGGAGGAAGTCGGGGGAGCACCCGGAGGCCGAGGAAAGCTCGGCCAACGTCACCGTGCCGTTGGGACGGGTCTCGATGAAGTCGGGAATGCCGAGCTCGATGACACATCGAACGATGGCCAATTCAGTGAATTGAAAAATGCACTTCCGAAGATCCTCGACGGCGGCTATTTCTTCCTCGTTTGGCTTCGGAGCTGCCATGATTTTAGACTCCATTGATGGATAAGCTTGCTGCAGTGAAAATGCTTGTATATATAGAAAAGATTCCTTGTCATTCGAATATTTTTTACATCTCCACGTCAGCCACCAATTGAAATTAATATTATGGCATCGTTTGATTAGACGATAATATATATATATATATATATACACATATATGTGGTTTGATTAGAAGCTTCTCTTTGTTATTGATTGTAACGTTTTGTAGGGTTTGGAGGATTATAATTGTATCGGATTAAATGAGAGGGATACATATGATTCCCTCCGTCCCACGTGCTATGTCCACGTTGCAGTTTTTGTTCATTATTTTTTTTTTTGAAAAATAATTACACATTTTAATCTCATTTTAAATTTTTAAATTTTATTTTTTTATTTTAATTAAACTAATTAGTTATCTTAATCTTAATTTATAATTATTTATATAATAAAATAATTATTTTACTAATATATTCTTAATTATCTACTAATTACATCCCTCCTAAAATACCTTGTCTACAGTGTAGCAGACACGGTATCTGGGACGGACGGAGTATTTATTTATTTATATTTTATGAGAATCAATCAATATAGATACTCTCTTTGTCCATTAAATTAATTTATTTGGGTAGTTGAGGGTATTTTGGGAATTTAGTTAAAAAAAGTAAAGTAAACAAAGAGATGGTATTGTTGTAAATAAGTGTTATATGAACGATAATAATTAAATGTCGATTTGTTGACTTTGCCAAAATTAGTAATTGGATAAATTTAATGAACGGACTTAAAAGAAAAATGAGAACAAATTTGGCAGACGGATGAAATAATACTTTTTCATAACTATAAAATTTTAAATAGTATTCGATTTGATAGTAGAAAAAATATATAGACAATATAAAATATAGTGTATATGTATTTTTTTTTTCCAAATTAAATGAATCAAACTAAATTAATTTATAAATATTACTTTTGTCATATATTATTATTTGGAAAATGTAGGACTAATTCGAAATATAAACATTTTTTTGGGTGTTGAAAAAATTAGTCACAAAGTTAATATTTCGTCGTCAGGGATGTCAAATAGGGCGAGTTAACCCCGGATTCGCCTCGGACTCGCTTTTAATGGGGCAGGTTCGGGTCTAAATAATATGTTTCGGGGCAGGTTGTGGATTTAGAATTTTAAATCTGGCCGAGTTCGGGGCGGATTACGGGTTTTAATAAAAACCCGCCCCAACACGAACCCGGACCCAAGTCCGGATATTTTTTAAAATTATTATAACTAATATATATGTACATTTATATAATAAAAATATATTATTTATTTACTTAAATAATTTTAAATATAAAATTCAATTAGTCGTCTGCTCTAAATAATTTTTTAAAAATATTATACCTAATATATGTATATTTATATAATAAAAATATATTATTTATTTATTTATCTTATTTTTATGGATCAATATTTGATTGTTTTTAGATTTTCTTTTGTGCTTTTAATGCTATTTATTTTAGTATTCGATTATTAAAAAAATTATTTATTATTATATATTTTTTTAAAAAACGAGTTTGCCAAGTTGGCTCCGAATCCAGACGGGGCAGGTCCTGGGGCCGGATGGAAGCGGAGTGGGGCGGGTTTCGAAGCATAATATTTTTTAACAAGGCGGGTCTCGAGGCCTGCAGAATCCGCTTCGTTGACATTCCTTTTTGTCGCAAACATCAATGTTAATCATTGACCTGCGTTGTTTGTGATGGAAAATTCAATGGGTAAATTAAAAAAAATTATTTTCGTCGCAAATAAATGAGTCAACCTTTGTGTTGACATGTTTGCAACAAATTTACTCGTGAAATTGTTTCCGTAAGTAATTCCCCACTTTTTGTGTAGCGTTTGGATGGTTGTGATAGTGCATTGGACGAATTGGAATAATTTAGTATTTTAATGCGATATTTTGTAAGAAAAAATAATACACTCTCTCATTCTCAGTAAAAAGTTATTATTTTTCATTTTCGTCCGTTTCAAAACAAGATTATCATTTCATAATTTAGTAATTGTACTACCTCTCCAACAGAATAAATATATTTTCAACTATTATACTATATTAATATGGGTATTTTTATCTTTTTTTTACTACAATCCAATATAATACTAATATTCAAAAATCTAAATGTAAAAAGCAAACATCATTCTTCCAATAGGACGGAGGGAGTATTATTATTTTATTATTAAGGATCTGCTGATAAATGATTTTGTTCACCCAATTTTATTTTTCAATTGCGATTCATCTAAAATAATAATAAACAATACATAATATCTTTTATAAAAGTTAAAAAGTCAAAAATAAAAAATTTACAATAAGTTAAAATAATTATATTTTTGACATAATTTTTTTATACCTCACACTAAAAATCTATTTATCTAAAAATATCGGACGAACGAATCCATTGTTATTTTGATTTAAAATTACAATCAAACACAATATGCTTATAAAAAGCAATTATATTTTTATATTTTAATTATTATTATTATTTATTTATTTTTGTTATAAAAAACCGATCTTTGAGACAGGATTACCAAAAAATAAAAAAAAAATTAAAAAAAAAGGTGGTGGCCTATCTGGCCATTATTGGTGGTGGGTCCGACTTAATTTGGTCTATATATAATATATCCTCTCCTTAAAATAAGAAAAATTGGTCGTCTTACTATACTACGAAATTATTTGATGATGTCTTGTTGTTATTAATTTGCGTGTTTATTTGATTAGATACAAATTTTAAATAAAAATATAAAAATAAAAATATTTTTGGTTTTTTAGGTAAATAGAAAGTAGAACAAATAATATTTCTTTTTATCTAAAAAAAAAGAAATAAAAATAAATTTAAATAATAAAAAAAATGATAATAGATTTGGATAACAGAAAGAGTAGTAAATTATATTCTTTCGTTCCAATTCAAAATATATTTTTAATTATTTTTCTTTAGTCTTATTTAAAAGTTGTTTTTTTTATTCTAGTAAAACTAGTCATATATTAATTTTAAAATATTTTTAATTTTTATTTAAATTACAAATATAACATTACACGTACAATCATTTTATACATAAAGTCAAACAGTAAAAAAAATATTAAGACCTCTTACACACTTCAACTAACTAATAAAATATTACTCCATCTGTCTCCATATAATTTGTCTCTATTTTCTATTTTCTTTCATCTCACATAATTTGTCAAGTTTTCTGTTTGAAAATATGATTATAGACTTTAATGACCTTTCAAATTTTATAATTTTTTTAATATTAATTAAATTATTTAGTTATCTTAATGTTAATCTATAATAATTTTTACTATATAATAATTATTTATACTAATACATTTTTTAATTACTCACTAATTATATTTTACATAAATTTTTATATTTAAGGTAATATGCCCAAATTATCTAGAGCGCAGATAATATTATTTCTTAATTTATTATAAAATTTCAAAAAAATTATATTAAAAAGGGACAGAAAAGTAGTGGGTGTGTTTGTTTGGAGGATTGGATTTTAAATACATTATTCTTTCAATTTTTCCCCCTCAAAACATCAAATCAAACACCTATTTTTTATTTTTTATATTATACTAAAAATCAATTTTACATTCAAAACATTACATCAACACCTATTTATATCAAATCATATAGCTATTCAAAATTCAAAATTTTTACTATTTAAATTCCAACTCAAAATCCAAATCCCTAAACAATGTGTAACAAAATCAATTTCAAAAAGTTAGATAGGATTTGAATAATTGATTTTATTGTACTCCCTCCCTTCGTCCGGTTGGAAGGGTGACATTTGTTTTTTGCACGTAGATTTTTGAATATTAGTATTATATTGGATTGTAGTAAAAATGACAAAAATACTCCGATTAGTATGGTGTAATATAAAATTAATGACATTTGTGTAATATATTTTAAGTTGAAAGAGTATTTATTATGTTAAATAGATAGCACAAATACTAAATTAGGTAATGATTCCTTTTAGTGGGACGGATGGAGTATTAAGTTATTATATCTCACCAACACGACTATTTTTCAAGAGTGTGCTATGGAACTTCTTACTAGGCCTACTATAAAATTGTTATTATTATTATTATTATATTATTATTATTTTATGAGAAAAGTTTTTACAATAAAATTATCGGGTGGTGTGTTATGGTGTGGTCATTTTATTTTACGTCGGTAAAAAGCAAATCATGCTAAAGAAAATTTGTGTGAGATATTGGATCGAAAAAATGTTAGTAGAATTTAAATCAATAACCTTATAATTATTAGCCACCATACTACAAAAAATTATAAAAAATATCATCAATGTATACCTAATTATTATTTTTATCATTTGTTTATCTAATTGAAAAAATATATCCTACAAGTTCTAAAAAATTGTCATTTATGTCATTTAAACACGCGTAATATTCACATGACTAGAGAACAGAAATATGATAATTTTTTCAAATGCGTAGAATATATTTTGTGAGTAAAATAAATAAAATAATAATTGGATATAGGTTGAAGATAAATAAAATAATAATTGTAACTAATGACTTAGTTTCCCTAATAAGTTCGAGCTTTTAGGTGAGACGGTCATTAGCTTCCGACATATATATTGCAATTTTTCCCCACCATGCTACAACTTTATTTATACAAAAATGGAATTTTGGAATTTGAAAAGTTTTAGAATAGTAAAAAAATTAATATTTGATTTGATATTTTATAAGAAAAAATTATATTTGATACGATATTTTTTAAAATTCAAATAGTACCAAATTTTCAAAAAAATATTGTCTAAACAAAAGGTTTGTGTACTTTGTATTTTCGAGTGACGATTATCCATAAATATTATTAAAAATAAAATATATACATATTAACATAATATATATAATATATTATTATATTTTTTATTTCATTTATAATAAAATAAAAATTTAATACAAAAGATTATTTTATATTTATAATTTTTAATACTCAATATTATAAAAACATTTCATTAAAAACACAAAAGTCAATAAATTCAAAATGTACTTCTTTTAGTTTGATTCGAAAACT